TTAACATATATCTTTATATATTATTATATTGATTTAAATTTCTCGTAAAAACAACCACGTGTTACTATAATTTATTGCACACATAATTCTTTAAACATTATAGTAACAACTAAATAATACATTTAAACGCTGCTTACTATTATAGTATTATATTATACTATTTTTTACACCTTAGTTATAATAATTATTCTTGATATTATTTMTGGGTAACTTTTWAAATAAGTATATTACTACAAAGCGGTACTATGGTGTTTTAAAAGTTTATTGAATAGTCGAGATTTTCAATTACAAAACAGACCGATCAGTTTTTACTTTATAGTGACATTTACGAATCGATTAAAATAGAATATGAATTAATGAACAATATGTTTTAAATAACATTTTCATTATGTCTACCACAACATTTTACTCAAAAATTGTGACCATTTCACATGGTCATCTGGTRGTCTGTAATGTCCAATATCCTGCGCCTGTGTGTTATTCGTTCAACTTTCCCCATCCGGCCTGTACGAATCAGGTCGAGGAAATTTTTAACCATTGGTTTATCATCATCRTGAGGTTTTTTCTTTCGTTTTTTCTTTTCTTTCATATTAAAAACAATGGTTGGATGACAACCGCGTGTAATGATCTACTTGTGTGACGGAAAACCGTTTCATCATTGACGACGACAACAGCAGYGTCTGTGGCAGTGGCAGTGGCGGCGGTAGCGGTGGTGGCGGTTGTATTGTCGACGGACGTTCTCCCCGCCACTAAAACACTCGGCCGGCATCAAGTCTCGTTCCGGTATACCATCCGACGAACATTCCGTCTTCCGCTATCGACCGGACCGGTGTACTGTTTAGTTCGCGATGTTTTACGAGATGCGTGACAAGCAATATGATTCCGGGTCGTCATGCCTGGGCCGGTGCTGGGTGTTGGTGGCCATGTGTGGGTTACTCATCACTGTATCGTTCATCGGGATGACGCTGTGGCTGGGCATGAACAGCAGGCCGGATGTGCCGGCGGCCGTGTACCAGCCACCTGTACACTCAGTTCCCAACGTGCACCGACACCACTACGAAGTGACCACGGTCAAGTCAGTATTTCCGACAGCCGACTACGATTCGATGCCCACCACGAGCATAAAGAACAAAAAAGGTAGGATTGAAATAGTCGAACACGAAAAAATTGCTAAAATAGAACCGACCACTCCGACTACGAGGGTCAAGGCTAAGCTAGATGACGGTTTGAATCCGCTAGAGGAGATCATTGAGCCGTCCAGAATGAATGGGGTAAGAAAAAAGAGTGAAGTAGTGTATCCAAATTGGTCCGAAATGGAAGGAAAAACCGAAGACGAGGTCGTGGAGCCGTCGCAAGAGTTTCAACCTTATTWCGTGAGCGAGCAACCTGACACACAAAAGTTCAACCCTATACCTGCGTTCTCGTATCTCAAAGAACACCCAATCCGATTGTCAGGAAAAGACATCCGACCTCCGGGCACAACTGAAAGTGATGAGTACCCTTATTTCTATCCTCAGTTCGAGGACGTAACGCCCGCAGACGAGAAAGCCGCAAATCCAGTATTTACGTTTTTGCGGAAAAGGTTACAGGACGTTCGCGATTGGTTGGCTCAGTCAGGTATCCGAAAGAATCAGAGTCAATGGATTCAAATGGTCGATGCTGTTAATCAATCGCTATAYACGAAAAATGCCACAATCGTATTGTCTAAACTTCGAGAAATGTACGCCAACACCAGTGATGTAGCTGCCGACACGCCCGTAGCTAGCTTAATTTATCCAGCAGCCGCTAACGATTCCGCTGCCAGCCTAGTTTCGTTCGGACTGTTGGCCATCGATCTTTTTCTTTTGCACAATGTACAGCAAATTGCCCTCAACGAAGACGCGGAAGCCGGGCAGCAAATGCTTAACGACCCAGACGTGGTAGCATTGAATGCGCTGTTTTTGCCTCCAGACCGTGTTAAACAACTGCGGTCGGCCAATTCGAGAGTGTTATCGGACGATCGTCGTGACAGGAACCCCAAAGGATTCGTATCTGAATTGATGGAGTTTGTCAACGGTGGTTTAAGAGCCATACTTAATCTTAGTAGGGCGTACAGGAGCAGCTCTCGAGCGGCCAAAGCTGAAGGAAAAAGCGTTGGTGATAACCCAACTGCTAGCGGATCATCATTGGATTGCATTTGGACGTTATACTGTCGAAATTTAGACAAGACTGCTAAACTGGACGGACCTTATGGCTTTTTAGCGAAGATGAACAGGTAAATTATATAATTACTTATATTAATTCGTAAAAAAAAATTTTTCCTGATTTATCTTAAATAAAATCGTTTATCAAAGAAAAAATACATTTTCCATAATAACTATTCCAAATTTAAAAACTGAATTAAATTTTGATAGATAAAACAGTTCAAAAACTACACTTTAAAAAAAAAATAACCATTCAAATTCCTAAGATAGTATTAAATTATTATTGTTTTAATTTTAATAATATTATATTCATGATCAGATTTAAAAAATATATGTGTGGTTTGGTCATAAAGTAACTATATGGGTTTGGTATCCATAGTAATCATGATTATTAAAAGTAATTAATTCTACATAAAAGTTAAAATTAACTATTAATATAATAATATTATTTGTAGCAAATATATTATAAATTATAAAAGTGTTGATAATTAATGAATAAATAAGCATATATTATTAAAATACATATTATTTTATTAATAATGAAAAAAAAAAATGAAGACATTATAATAACTTATGCCTAATTATTTAAAATAAACTTATTGATTGAATGCATTTAAATTTAAATTAATTCTGTAATTTTGAAAGTCATTAATAAAAAAATTGAATGAATAACGATAACATATTTTATTGTTATGCGTTTTAAGTATTAAAATTTATTTATTTTATATTATTTATAAATGATTATAAATGAAATCCCTGCAATTATGACTACTTTCTCGGTTTCTTGTAAGTTTTCGAAGAAAAAATATCCCTAATGGTATTCATGTCTGAATGACCTCGCCTACATTGTTCCATACTCCAGTGCTTTACTTTATTTTAATTTCTGCACAATCGCATTTTTCAGCACGTATTATAGACCAAAGCGTTATTATTGAACTGTCTATAATTAAAATTTATATTAGTACTACAGTCTACATTATACCAATATTTGTATTCGATYAGTAGTTGTTGCTGTGCTAAGCTTTTGATATTAATCATTTTAATAGTTAAATACTCAACTTTCAAACACACCGGATAAAATGATATAGCATCTTGGTATTTTTATAAATTAATTATATTTTTGAATACCTGAATTTTTAAAATTTGCATGGTGATGAGGCTGTTATTAATTTCACATTACAAAAAGAAAGTRTAATATGTAGTAAAAAAATAATTTACGCGATGATTATGATTATAATATTTTATAACATAACGATTTTTGAATTAGGTTTACGACAATAATACGATAGGTACATAATATAATATAAAAGTCTTATCGTCTTAAATCACAGTAGTGAGGAAGTTAAATCTAATTGCGATTCTAATTTTGGCCAAACAACTAATAGTAAACATGGTTTTGCTCATTGATCTCCGTACAATGTGACTTTCACACATCATAATATCCTCATAATATTTTCATAAGCACCACGCGTGAACATTTTAAACACGTTTRTMKWTWMTATATAGAAACATTACATTCTAAACACCTACKGGCTACGACACAATAAAATTTAAAACGTGTTCGGATAGAAGCTAAGTATGTGTATGCTAAATGAGTTTTTCTGAAATATGTTTTCACTATCCTTAACACCCGCTGCATAATGTTTCTGTGTATTATTTACTACTGTTTTCTTCCATGATGCAATAAACCAAAATACGTTTTCTCGGGACAAATAAGGAAAAATAGTATCGTCGCTCTTTATTGATAGAGTATTTAACATTTTAACAGGAAATAMTTATTCATGTTCATTAGTATTGTGAAACATCCATAACATTATATACCTATACGTATTATGTTAAGCGGTCAATCAGGTGTAAGATTTGGCGACGGTGTTTCAAACATAATAATTTGTTGTTTACAATGTTTATGTAAAAATGCAAATATGTAAGACCTAACCGTAAGATAAAAATATCTTTCGATTGTATTTTTCACTTGTTTTTACGGGTTAAATACCACCGGTAGCCGMACAATATTTTTACTTTTTAAAGGTATATTTTTTATTGATGGCGTCACTCAAAGTTTATAATAATAATATATTGAGCTGTAAATMATTAACCAAAACCCTATAAATATGTACGTATGTATTTTATCATGTATAAATGTATAATAATATAAAGAGCGAATGAATAAATTGAATTTGTAAAWAAAAATGTATAAAATCATTGGCCGTTCGTCTGTGTGAAGTGTTTTATAAGCGGAACAGAGAAGCTATTTATTCAATTATTTTGCAATTATATATAATATGATATACCTACACTTTATAATAGGCGGTGTATAACTGAATAATTCCCAGAAGGCTGAAACTGTATAAAAACTAAAGATGTTTTACGACGAATTTTGAATAGTTCATATAATTTCACACAAATACATATATATGTATAGATTAGTGATCACAAATCGTACTTATAAAAATAATCTTTAAACTTTGCATTAGTTTTTGAAATATAAATGTCAGCAAAATAATTGTTAAAAMCCGTTCAAATGTCGATTAAACTCTATTCTCTCTTTAGGAATGCAGTTTTATTATTTTTACATCAATATACAAAAGTGCTTCTTCACAATTTTATTTGTCATTAAATAAATTAATTTCACTTTAGTATACAAAAGACAAAACAGAAACATGTCAATTAATCGGGAAAACATTAGTAACGTTAGAAACAATATGAGCTCATACGGTTATAATAACATTAATTTATTAAAGTATTATTATTTTTTTTTTTTTAATTATTGTACATATACCCTCGGCTACATAGACCATTAGGCTTAAAGTGAAAATAATTTACATATTTGTGTAGTTACTAAATCTAAGTGTTAATTACATTTTGGTTTGGAGGTAGGCGGCTGTAATGAACTGGATAACATTTGCTAAAGATTGTGGGCGATTGCTTAGTATTTTTACTAGTGATTCAGGAAGGTTGTGGCTTGTTGGGATATTGTGGTATAATCATACGATGATGAGGACGTGGCTGATGGTGACTTAGACGTCGTATGATGGGCACATTGGAGGTTCTTTGGCCATTAGGAAGTTGTGGGAATTATTTAAATTACATAAGATTTAATCTTGACATTAACCACCTACGCTATGACATTTTAATGTTTGAACTTTGATTCATTTTATCAAATTGAGCATTAAGTCTATTATAATTACATTGCTGCTATATTTTATAATGACGGAATTAATTAATTGTCCATGAAATATTTTAGTGGTGATATTATTTCTTTGTTGTGTACCTACTGTAGGTACTCCAGAAAAGCTTGAATGAAAAGAGTTGATTTTTTAATAAAAGAAAATAAACGTATACATGATTTGGTTTCATTAAATTGTTTTTTTAGACAAGTCTCAATAAAAGTTTTGAAAATAGTTTTATTGTTTGTGAATRATGACGGCCATTCTATAAAATTGGATTTCGGTCATTTTTGGGTCGTTAAGTACTTTTTTTTTGGACCATGTTGAAAATAGTTTATTGTCTTTTGAAAATASTAATTTAATTAATTAGGTACCCTTTGGTAAATCTGATTTCCCGCCTTTTTAATGTAACGAAATCAATTTATTTTAACGAAATGTTAATTGACGGTTATCACTTTCTGAAAATAATAAGGTGTGTACTTTTTAMAAAATTATTTAAATTTAAATTATTCAAATTAATTAAATGTAGTGGGAAAACTAAAAATGGGTCTACTAAAATGTTAAATTAAATCACATTAGAAAAATTGAAGTAAATTATATTGATTAAATGATGTCTGTTTAATTAGGTAACGTACGATTTAATTTTTTTTGTTTTATTAACTACTTAGAATACTAGATACTACATATTACATTTTATGTACATTTTTAAAATTTTTTATTAGATACTGCCCTATAGTATATAATGTTAAAAATACGTAAATAATCATAAGTTGTTATTTTTTATGGTTAGTAAAAAAGTAAATATTAATTATTGTTTAGGATGGGCACCCAGACATATTTTGTGTACGAATATTATCAAATCGTTGATAACTAATAATTGAGATCGATGATATTATTTTTTGATTTTATCAATGCTAAATCTAAGTTTATGYTTTCAAGTATAAATAATAATTATGGATTGTTAGTTTGTTAAACTTATAGTTTTTTAAGATCCATTTGAAAGGACAATGTGTCGTTTATTTTAAAATTAAGAACATTAACATAACTGAATAACCACGGCGAGATGGATAAAGTTGTAATTTTATACCTTCCATAAACCTACTGGCTACTGAATAATATACATGTATAGACGTATAGTATACTTATTACTTACATATATATATATAATAAAGTTAATATAAATTTCATTTTGACTAGAGTCCAGTAATTTTATTTTTACAAATATGATTCATGTTGAAGGTTAGGCTACCTACTTATTCAATTTTATAATAGATAATCGTAATGAAGTTGTCATATCAGCAATAAAAATGGTCAGTATGTGTCGTATTATAAAGAGATATTACAATTTATTAAACTAGCCACAAGGTGTAATAAAACGTTGTATTACTCTAATAAAATATAATTTAGGTATGCAGGTATCATAAATATGATGTCTTTATTTCAACTCAACATAAACGTCATACATTATAACATTTTATTATATGATTTCTTTTAAATTTCTATGATATAGTCCTACACGATTTACTTCTCATTTTTGCTGAGAACAACCATAACCATGTACGAGKGTCGAGGATATTAATAATAATAATACACCAATAGACCAATATAGTACAATAATAATGCAGCAGTTAATTAACGAGCAATAAATTTAAAGACGATAGTGCTGTTTTTAAATCATTTATGAATCGCGAGATTGTACGATCACAAGATCAATCTTGTCGGTGTGAGTAAAGTTATAAGTAGTACCTATTATTAATTTCACAAAATWATTTTTTTGATGTGCTATTGTTCAAGGGTGATTCATCAAGCATCCCCATGCTCATTTTTGTTTTAGTAATGATTTTTTCAGATTCTTTAATTATTTTTGTACTACGTGTTTGGTAGCGATACGCGAACTTCTGTT